TTTTCCTTTTAAGTTGCATTTCTAGTTTATACAAATTCATTTAAGTTCTGTTGAAGAGATGCGAGCATAACAGAAACTGAGATTGGGAGGCACTTGAAGGTGATAATCTGCAGATATGGTCTTGATTTAAATGGGACAATATCAAAACATATGGAGTAAATTGTATTGTCCTACCTTGATTGAACACAATCAGGATGCAGACACTTCTGTTATTCTTTTGTATGTGATTCCCAGAAGGTTAGGAGTGTAGCTTCTGTCACTATAGAGTTCTGCTCGAAAGAAGGTAAAAACATTGTTCCCTAAGGAAAAAGCAAAAGCAGGTGTATCATAAACCTGCCTGCACTGTTGCAAACATGTGCATAGCACATATAAACGACAAGAAATTAAACATTCCATCTTTGTAATAAAGTGAAACACACTGTGCACATATGGATGAAAGACAAAGCCTGCAATACTCCAGTAAGATGTGAAAATACAGTACCACTTGGGGGAAAAAGACTTTGAAGATAGGCCTTTCCACCTCTAATCCTTACCCCAATTTCTTTGTTTACACAGGTTTCACCCCATTTCTGTGACAGATCAGTCCCCTTTTTCTTCTTGCCTCCTCCATTTCATTTCACTCATTTCTAGGCCCAATGTCCTCACCCTGCCACATTATCTCCTGTTATACATCTTCTCCCTATATGGTGCCCATGGAGTCCTGTTCCTCAGTTCCCCATTCAGTTCTGTATCTCACTCTTCTTGCTTTGCCAGTCCATCCAAGCTTCCTTCTTACCCCAGGTCCCAGAGGAAACACTCATTCCTCATCTTGTCTGCCTTGCAGCTGCATCTTCATCTTCCTCCCCTCCTGCCTGTATGGCTCTTGCTTTCAAATCAGGCAAGTTCTTCTTTTAGTTGCTTGGTACTAGTAAAGGGTGGAGGATGGTCCCTGGACAGAGAAGTTCCCTTCTCAGCTCAAAGCCCAGCCCAGGCACGACCTATATGCCTGGACCAGAAGGTACGACAAAGAACTTGCTAAGATGCCCATGGCAACCCATGTAGTTCTTACTGACTATAGAGTAACTGTGATTGGTTTAGCAGACTTAGGCTTGTCCAGTTTCTGGCTGATTCTCAAGGGGAGGGCAACTGGCACACAACTGATGTAAAAAAATCCTTATGTCCAATCTTTGTTCCAAACATGGACAGAAGTCTACAGATACTGAAAGCAAAAGTGGCCTGTATTATTAATAGCAATGTTTAATATTTTTATAATATGTATATATGGTTTATTTCCAAGGTTGTTCAACCATCCATTATGAGTATGCTCTATCAAGAAGAAATGGTTTATGTACGAACTGTCTACTATTATCACTGCCATTACAAACAGCATACTCTAAGGTATATTTGGCTTAAAATAATTTTTAAAAATACAGCCAATACCACTATATTAATTTAGCATCTATACAATTAATTACATTCACACAAAAAGAAAAAGTAATCTGTTCTGTACAGAAGGAAATAAAACTCTCTTGCTTCAATCCTAGAAATAACCCAGTCAGCAAACTTTACTGCAAATGCTTGTGTATATAAGTCCTGTGGAAACTGCTTGTCTACTGTGCACAGGAAAAAGGGAAAATGAGGCATATGTCAACAGATCAAAGAGCACACTGGAGCAGTGAATAAAGATCACACCACAAATCAAAACAAAGTAGCAAAATTTATGTTAAGTGATTTCCACTGGTGTTTAATACAAATTTCAGGATGGTTTGTAACAAATTTTCAGTCATTATTAAACAGCAGAATCTGCAGATTAGCCGAGTCACAAGCAAAAGACAAAACAGAAACAGCAGTTTCCAATACAAGAAACTTTTTCCTAGCATCACTAGTTTCTCCTGTCTCCCCTGCATTTTCGTTGTCCTCTTCAGATTCAGTGGATTTGTAGATATGGCACCAGCATTTGCCTTGGTTTTGCTGGAAAAAAAACCCAACATTTTTTATATGAGTTAATTGTTATTGACTAGATACTTCAGAATTACTGTAGGAAAAAAAAGGTCGATCGCTTACTTTATAGCCATCTTGTACTTGCTTAAAAACTAAGCAAGGTCTAAACCAGCAAGTACCATTCTCATGTATCCCTGTACATAATGTAACGCAATACCAGTGGAGATGGCAAAATGTACACACTGTTGATAAAGCAAGCCAAAGCTCAATTCTAACAAGATCATCTTTCTCTAATTGCCATTTGTATACATTCACAAGTCTGCTTTACCCGCATAGGAAGTCATGCTGAACCAAAAAAAAACCACACCCAACCCACAATCAAATAATTTGCAATTAACACTTAAAATGTTTAGTGTTTATATAATGTGTACTTCTATAAATTTAAATAATCACAGATTTCAGATACATCTCTGATTAAAGTAGTAACTTCAGATTTTAAGTGAAACTTACAAGCTTTTTCTATACTGGGCTCACTTTGTTTGCAACACTCTAGTTTTTCTTTCCCCCAGAAACTGATTAACAATAAGCCATTTTAAACTGCAATTCCTATACAGTTTTTTGCATCTCTCTTCTTTCTTTTATTTCAGTAGCTCTACTTGCCTTTCTTTTGCCAATATTGTAATATTAGTTTTCCCAACTAATACAGATAATTCAAAAGTATTTTAAAAACATGTCCTTGATTAAGCTTTTTGAAAACTGAAATGTCACAAAGCCAAAATAGAGAAAGTCCTACTCAGATTCAAAGGTTCTTATTAGGAACAATGTCTTTGTCCATTTCCCATTCTATCAATCTTACAACTGTTCAGACTAGTTACAGTTCACTTTATGGTAGATATTCTACACTTTCAAATAGCAGCTGATCTTACTACTTCTAAAACAGGCACCATTATTCTAAAAGAGGCAGCCAATAATGCTGCAAGGTCTGGAAGAGAAACAGGCAATTTTGCTCAAGGCCATAGAAGAATTCAGGGTTTGGTTTCTTCTGATGTCACATTTTTGTTAAACTAACAACACAGCATATTAAAATCTTGCTAGAATCAACAAATCAGTGTGAGAACCAAAGCAAACATTTCATTAGCCTCTAAACATGGAAAATCTACATCACACACATGAATAAGACTGCACAATGCTCAAGACATCATCACCATCACCCCCCTGGAAAATTCTACAACTGAAAATGCTTTGTACTAGACTAAGAGCTATGCATACTCATAAGTCACAATTAATAGCACAGGGCAGCAACCTAATGAAAATATAAGCAGGTATTTATTTACATTTCCCAGGCAGATGCTAGTGTCTTAAGACTTAGGGCTTGAAGAAACACAGCTATGTTTTAACCTTTGATTTATACCACAAGAGTTTTACTGCAGGTTATGATTATGCCATTGCTAACCAAAGCTTCCTAAGTCACTTAATTCATAAAACAGTACCTTACTCTAATGGGAGTTCAGAATATACCAGAAATGCAAGATCAGATCCTACCTTCAAAGACCCCTTATTGCACCTCATTCTTGAAACAGATCTGGGTTTATGGGAATTAGGTAGGACCCTCATCTTGTCAAAGGGGATGAACATACTTAGCATCTAAATTTAGATTACTTTTTTCTAGAAGACAATCAGTTCTACTTAGCTTAACAGCTAATAACTTGCAAAAAACCAGGTTGTCAGCTGTGACATCCTTACCCTTCAGAGTAAAACAAAAGCAAGAAAACATACTTTGAGAGTGTCACTATGTTAACGGCACTCAAAACTGCATGCGTGTTAAAGATGACATGCATTCTATATCCTTGTTGAAGAGATTTATTTTATTAATTCACCTGTTTCTTGTCCTGTCCTCCTTGTGGCTGTTTGCAAAATTATATTTAAATAGCAGAAGTGGCATATTTAAATACTAGCTCAGCAGCCTCAATATGATGGTCTGTATTTGAAAACAGTGTTTGCATTTTGGTTTTCTTCTTAAAAGCACTTGATGTACTAGTGTAGTCCTTTACTTTTACTGTCTCTCCACAGGGTCAATATGAAAACATGGTGTCCTTTTTTCTAAGACTCAAGCCCTAAGAAAGCATCCTCTCTCTGTAAACAACAAAAATCTCAGCTGCCATGTAGATCGCCATTTTAGTGTGATTACATTACCCCACAACAATATTAATAAAATGGACTCTGGACTACTCTTTTTGCTCCTCCCTCTCACATAACTGACATATAAAAATAATGCTTGTACTTATCCAGGCAAATGTTAACTGTTTGGTTTCAGCACAGTTTTGGCATTTTGGTAATTCTTTTCTACATTATGTTCGGTTTACAACCTACGGCATTTCAAACATAATGTATGTGTCACTAAGCTGTTACAGAAGCTTGAGTTTAGCATGTTTCTGATGAGCACATAGATGGAAAATAGACTTCAGAGGAATAAGGCAGTCACAGTAGAGGATGCCAATCACTGACTAATCTGATATCTATGCATATCACATGCAGTTAGCATGAAATGATAACTTACATGCAAATTAGATTTTGTCTTCATTATTTATGCACCAAGAAATTCCCCTCCAAGAGGAAATACAGTTGCAAGACACACAGAGGTTAAGAGAGACATGACTCAGAAATTAACACAGCACAGCTTGTAGTGACAGTGCTAACAGATATTCTGTTTCTCTAAATCTCTGAAACAATTATGCTTCAGTCTAAAACTTTTTACATATTATGAATTTCAACAGGAACAAGATACATGCTTATACTTATTGACAATTTATACTCAAGGAAGTAAAATAGTGCCTGGTCACAGTTATGACTAGATTAATGCATATCCCTTTATTGCATATAAAACAGAAATCAGAAATGTTGTTTTGCCTTTTTTTTTTCCAGATCATTTTCACACAAATACATTTACAGAAAAAATCAAGGAAAGGTTTTCAGTTCAATGTATTTCTCCTTTTCAGTGGCTAACTTTATTTACAGTAAAGTAGACTTATAGTAAATATACGTACTTGAATTCGCTTCAGTTTCTGGAGTCCATGGTATAATTATCTATAAGGGTGCCTTTTGGAGGTTTCTTCAGGATTATTCAGAGATAGCAGCAATGGTTTTTGGAACTTGCTTTGTATCCAAACTCGCTGCATTTTCACTTTTTTCTTCCTGTTTACTTGTAATCGCCGATCAACTAGATTCTGAACTTCAGTTAATCCAGCTAAGTTGAATATGTTCCATACCTCATCTATTTTCTCATATGAAGAATTATTGTAATTAAAAAACCAAAACAAAACAAAACACATTTGCAGAATGTAGCAATTAACAACCTGCAGTTCAACCAAAGATGGAACTAAATCTGTTTTGTGATTTGAAAGATCAAGGAAACTGCCTGTAAGAAATCTTTTGTTAGAAACTAATTTTCATAGCTCTCAATTTATATTACAGTAAAAAATGTTATGTTGAGGCCCAAACCACATTGGTTATTATTCATGGCATTCACAGATCCCCTTTCTTCAAAGGGTTCAGTATGCTAGAGTTGAGGAAAACAAATGCATGCCATTTGGTCACTGTTTGCTTATTACTGAGATAAAGCTATTTCACCTGCCAAATGACAATCCACACATTTATGCCAACGTAATTAACTCGTTCTTGTCAGTCACCACTGGAAAACTTTAAGCTTCTTTGTCATAAGTAAGCACAAAACAAGACATTTAAAAACTGAGAAGGCTCTTGGAATTCAAGTGATTTCCCATACATGTCCCAGATCCCCTCCTTCTCACTTTCAAAATTACTCAGGCGGGGATAAATCCTGATCCATCTCTATTGCTTACACTCTAGGTTGCAGCGGGCAAGATGGAAGAGAAAAAAAAAACAACCCAGAACACCAAAACAAACTATTGCGATGCTTACTTTCACTATTTCCAATAGCTGGGCTAAAATATACCAGTCTAAGCTGACTGCCAACAGAATCAAGTGAGTGGATGGGCAAAGAGCAATAGTATCCATAATCAGGAATTTAAGTTTAGCTCCTGCAGGACGAGCAGCCTCACAGTTCAGATTCACCAACATAGCAGAACAAAATACCAGAACACTGCTACCAACTGTCCTTCTAAGCATGTTTATCTCAATTTTAAGAAATCAAGTACATCTTTAAATAACAGAATTTGAGCATACCATTAGACACAAGACGCTTAGACAAAGAAAAATTTCCAGTGATGTCTGTAATCAATCTTGCAGGACCCCAGATGCAACAAGTGTACACATAAAGGGAATTATTTTCTTACAACAGTTAGCCTTGGGCTTTGTAAAAACAGAGAACTACAAAAAACCCCAATAAAATCTTTAAATTTCTGTTGTAATATGAGCTTTTATAACCCAGATCATCCTGACAGACACTCAACCCTTTCTATAAAACGATACCATTTCATACCTTTGGTAAAGAAATATACCCTGGTTCCATCTCCTCGTACATAAAAATTCTCTGACAAGCAATGACCTAAGAAATTAGAGCAGTAATGAAAAAGGACATGTCACTTTTTTCCAAAGCGTTAAAATGAACAGTGAACTTCAAAAGCATTAAGGAATTACCTTTTTTAAAACGAAGTTGAGCTGTATCATATCTTCCATAGTCTCGAAATAACAACATTCCTCCAGGTTTCAGTAGTTTAGCCAACCTATTTACAACCCCTTGCATCCTTGGAAAATAGATGGGATATTGGTGAAATTTGCAAACCTAACTGTTTTTTTCTAGCTGCTTGGAATATACATAGATTTCCAAAACTACAGTGAGAAGATGTGTCTACATTTACTATAAAAAGGCCAGGCACTAGTGCACAGGAAGAACTCTTTATAAAAAAAGCCTCTAAACCAAAAATTTAAAAGGAACTGTAAGAGAATACTGCAAAGGAGCCCTCTTCCTTCACTTCAACAGAATTTCAAGGATGGATTAAAACACAGTTTTTGAGTATATGGGTCATACGGGTCAGGCAGATATATGATAAACAATGAATGAACAGTTAGCTATGTGCACTGTTGAGCTAGACTGAGCCTTCTGGATGTACATAGCAAAATCAAGGGCATGGAAGACAGACAAAAAATTATCTGATTTCCTTATGGAGGTACTGATCGTACACACAAAATTATTATCTCCACACCTAATGGTTGAGGATGGAAAGATGAGTCTGAGTAGCACCTCAGGAGAGGAAATCTGGCAGAACTCCATCGGGAGATATTTCTAGTTAGAGGAAAGTCTGCGTCCTCCAAAATGCTGACAAGTTTGTGAACCTTGGTGGTATCTATCATCAGCTCTTCCTTATCAAGATTACACCAGCCTGCTGTATGTATGATAGGAATAAGTACCCTACACAGTACTCTT